AGAAACAGACTATAGTATATGTGGCAACCTTGGCAATATTGCAAGAGTTGTGTGTGTGTGTGTGCGTGCATGCGTGTGGTTCTTGTTGTCATTCTTTTAAACACTTGTGCTTTATATTAAACGAGTAAATGCTTCTAAAATCTGACCCCTTGCTCTTGGCCCATACACTTGGCCTTCTCTTTCCCGGATACTTTTGCCTTTGAGTCTTCCTTTGATGCTGGATACATTATTTTTTTTCAAAGTCCCTGCCGTCGGCAGTATTTCTATTTTTTTTTTTTTTCTCACCATTTTAGACTTTATTCTGGGTTAACTGAGAACCAGAATTCTTGCATGTTTTATCATCCCTGGGGTTCAGGTTTGGTATGAACTCCCTAAATTGGAGGGCCCTGGATTTCTTTCCTTTTCCATATTCTTCATCTCTAAGTGTTCTCTGATAACAACCTGCTCTATTTTGCAGGCCCTCTAAGATTGCAGTGCGCCCAATTTCTTCTTCTTCTTTTTTTTTTTTTAAAGATTTTATTTATTTATTTGACAGAGAGAGAGATAGCGAGAGCAGGAACACAAGCAGGGGGAGTGGGAGAGGGAGAAGCAGGCTTCCCGCGGAGGAGGGAGCCCGATGCGGGGCTCGATCCCAGGACCCTGGGATCATGACCTGAGCCGAAGGCAGACGCTTAATGACTGAGCCACCCAGGCGCCCCTCGCGCCCAATTTCTTCTTACCGATTCAGCAACTTAGGGACTCAATGCTATCATGACTTGTTCAGATAGAGCCCTTTGGTGGTTTGCTTCCCTGTCTATATCCAACTCTTTGTAAGTAGCTTTACTGAAATAATTCATATAAGAGACAATCTATCCATTTAAAGTGCATTATTAAAGGTGTGTTAGTATATTCACGGAATTGTGCATTTATCACCACAATCCATTTTAGAACGTTTTCATTGTCTCAAAAAGAAACTGCACCCCTTAGGCATTATCCCTCCTGCAGGCCTCAGCAACCACTAACCTACTTTCTATCTATAAAGATTTGCCTATTCTGGACATTTCATATAAATAAAATCATACAATATGTGGTCCTTTGTGACTGGCTTCTTTTACTTGGCATAATGTTGTCCAGGCTCATCCATGTTGTAGTAGGTATCAGTGCTTCATTCATTCTTCTTGCCAAAAAATATTCCATTGTACAAATTTACCACATTTCATTTGTCCATTCAACAACTGGCAGACATTTAAGTTGTTTCCACTTTTTGGCTATTCTGAATAATGCTGCTATGAATATGAGTGAACAAGTATTTGTGTAGACATATGTTTCTATTTCTCTAGGGTACAGCAGCTATCTAGGGAACTGCCAGACTGTTCTCCAAAGTGGCTGCACTAGTTTACATTCTTACCAGTAGTGTGTTAAGTAATGAAATTGACAGTTGTGAATCTTCCAATTCTGATCTTTTTCAAGAATGTTTTGATTATTTTCGGTCTCTTGAATTTCCTTAAGAATTTTAGAATCAGTTTGTAATTTCTGAAAATAAGTCAGCTGAGCTTTTGCTAGGGATTGCATTGATTCTACAGATCAATCTGGGGATTGCCATGTTAACAATATTAAGTCTTGGGGCACCTGGGTGGCTCAGTTGGTTAAGCGACTGCCTTCAGCTCAGGTCATGATCCTGGAGTCCCAGGATCGAGTCCCGCATCGGGCTCCCTGCTCGTCAGGGAGTCTGCTTCTCCCTCTGACCTTCCTCCTTCTCATGCTCTCTGTCTCTCATTCTCTCTCTCTCAAATAAATAAATAAAATCTTAAAAAAAAAATTAAGTCTTTCAATCCATGAACATGGGAAGTCTTTCCATTTTTCTAGGTAGTCTTTGATTTCTTTCAACAATGTTTTATACTTTTCCAGATTACAAGTTATGCATTTTTTAGCTAAATGTATTCCTAACTATTTTTTATAACTTTTGATGCTCTTATAGATGGAATTGTTTTCCTAATTTCATTTTTGGATTGCTCATTGATGAATAGAAAGACAATTGATTTTTGCATATTGATCTTGTGTCTTGAAACTTTGCTGAAATCATTTATTATTAGTTCTAATATTAATAATATTAATTTTTTCATGAACTCCTTAGTACTTTCTGTATACAAGATCATATCATCTATAAATACTTTCATTTCTTCTTTTTAATTTTGATGCCTTTTATTTCATTTTCTTGCCTAATTGTCTTGGCTAGAACTGCAGTACAAGGTTGAATAGAAGTGACAAGAACAGACATTGTATCTTATTCCTGATCTTAGGGAGAAAGCATTCAGTCTCTTCCCACTTAGTATGATATTAGTTTGAAAGATTTTCATAGATGCCCTTTATGAGGTTTAGGAAGTTCCCTTCCATTCCTAGTTCTTAGAGCATTATCTTCTTTTAAATCATGAAAGGGTGTTGAATCCTGCTGAATGCTTTTTCTACATTTATTACCGTTATCATATGTTTTATCATTTATTCTACTGATGTGTTATATCACAATGATTAATCATTGGATATTAAATCAACATCACATTTTGGGGATAAATCCTGCTTGGTAATGACGTGTAATCCTTTCTATACATTGCTTGATTCCATTTACTAGTAATTTGCTGAGGATTTTTGCATGTGTATTAATAAAAGATATTGGTCTGTAGTTTTCTTTTCTTGTGATAACTTTGGCTAATACTGACCTCATAGAATGAGTTGGGAAGCTTATCCTCCTCTTTTATTTTTTGGAAGAGGTATGAAAGATCAGACCTCATTAAATGGTAGAATTCACTAGTGAAGCCATCTGGTCCTGGGCTTTTCTCTGTGGGAAGTATTTGTTTTTCTCAGTTATTAATTCAATCTCTTTTTTTATATATGTATTTTTAGATTTTATATATATATATATATATTTTTTTTTTTTTTCCTTGAGTCAGTTTTGATAGGCTGGGTCTTTCTAGGAATTTTTCCATTTCATCTAAGTTATCTAAGTTGTTGGCACACAAGTTTTTAATAGTATGGCCTCATGATTTTTTTTTTTATTTCTGTACAAGGGTAGTAAAGATTTCATTTCTGAATTTAGTAATTCTATTCTCTTTTATTCTGGGACAATCTAGCTAAAGGTTGGTCAATTTTGTTGATCTTGTGAAAGAACTCACTTTTGGTTGTATTGATTTTCTCTATAGTTTTTCTGTTCTCTATTTCATCAAATTCCTCTCCAATTCTTATTCTTCCTTTCCTTCTGCTTGTTTTGGGTTATTTTGCTCTTCTCTTCCACTGTCTTCAGGTGGAAGTTTAGGGTTATTGATTTGAGATTTTTTTCTTTTCTAACATAGGTGTTTACAACTTTAAATTTTCCTCTAAGCACTGATATAGTTGCACCTTATAAGTATATGCCTGACTGTTTTTTAAGTTTATGCAGCCTAAATTTTATTTATGTTTTATGGTAATAAAGTATACATAACATTTATCTTTTTAACCATGTTAAGTGTTATACACAACTCTTGCATAAATAACTGAAAAGTTAACCTATATCTTACATCTCCAATATTTTTTTTTTTTTAAGATTTTATTTATTTATTTGACAGAGAGAGACACAGCAAGAGAGGGAACACAAGCAGGGGGAGTGGGAGAGGGAGAAGCAGGCTTCCTGCTGAGCAGGGAGCCCGATGCGGGGCTCAATCCCAGGACACTGGGATCATGACCTGAGCCAAAGGCAGACGCTTAACGACTGAGCCACCCAGGTGCCCCGTTACATCTCCAATATTTTCTGAATGGATTGAAATTTGGATCCAATCTATTTTAACCAAGATAACTTCATGTAAATCCCGGAGCAGTTTCCTATCAATTTCTTTAGCACACTTTAGGCTTTCTAAATACCAAAGGCATTATAACCTTTGGAGAGTCCTTAGGATTACATCTTGCCTTATCTAACTGTGATTTTCCTTCCAAAGTAATGATAATTAGCCTAATCAGCTGAAGTTAAGGCCTAGAGTGTAGGTATCTAATAAACATCTAAATTATTCAGTAACTTTTTTCCCACAGTGGGATTTGGGAATTCATTTATTATAGCTCTAAACTATACTCTGGCCCAAGGTTTAAATACTACTGCATAAACACTGTTAGACAGGTGCAATAAAGACTTGAAGGGAAACTGAGTCATGGCATCATGTGCCCTGCAAGTATGGTTGCCAGGATAGGACGATAAGATATCTCAGAGTTTGAGTCAGATTGGGGAGGTCCCCTCCACCCACCCACAGAACAAGGGATTTGGTGTGGCATAAGCTATCTTCCTCACAAGAGGTGTCAGGGGAGTAGGAGGAAGAGAAGTGAAGTGGGGAGAAATAATGGAGAAGCAGGATGACAGAGACTCCATGACTTTGGGGAGCTGCTGGAGTATGTGAGGGATCAGAGAAATTCCTGATCAACTTTCTCCTTACTCCTGCTAAAGGACCTTTCAAAAAGTCCAATTTGGATCATTTCAGCATTTATAAATGTTTGAATACCATTTAAAAAATGGCTGTTGTATACTTGGCATCTCGTCCTGTCTTATTTCCAGTGCTCCTCATGGATATAAAATCTTACAAAATCAAATATGCCTCATAATGATCATTATATCACTGAATTATCCTTGGCAAAAGCCCTCCACTTTACCAAGTAAACAAAAGAATTAGCATTATCATGAGTATACATATAAGAATCCAGAGACCCCCAGGGGGAAGTGCTATTTGTTTTCAGTTCATAGGCCCAATGTTTAAAAAAGAACCACAACAGAAGGGATTCCTTCTCTAGTCAGGAGGCAGGACTTTTAAGTGTTGACGTATATAACACCGTGCTTTCTCAACTGAATGGTCAAGCTAAGTTCAGCATTTTGGTAACCACTGGTCCCTGAGTGGGTGTGGAGTGAGGCACAGCCCAACCACAAACTCTCTGCAGAATTTTTAGAACAACACCCAGAGAGACAAATCACAGACAACTGTGGTAAGTGTAACAAATGACACAGACTTTCTGAGTCAAAAGTGGCCCAGTATTCTGGCCAGCATTGGTTTTTATGAGTTGATGTGTTTTTAAATGAGAAGGTACAGTCAATAATTAGAATACACAAGATTTAGATCTACGGAGACTCTGCAGATAGAGTTTGGATGGGGTGTTCAGTAGCTCAATTAACTCCTTGTTCTCAGGTCCAGTGATGAACATTTCTTCCAGCAGATAGTTAAGAGATTACAAGTTAAAGTTGGAGACTCAATCAACCCTTCAGCATCACAATAAAATCTCATACCGTGTGTCATGCGATGAATATTGCTGACCAGGACTCCAGTGATGACTAAGAAGGAAAGATATTACTGCTGTTGAGTGATTCACCACCAAAAAAGCAGCAGATTCCCTGACTATGGGCACACTCCCTGCATTGGGCTATCTGCTGCTCCAGATGAGCAGAATCTACAATGCAATCTTGGTGGAACCTCCAGGATTGTTAAAAGAAAGAAATGAGCTCCCCAGCAACTGAGAAAATAGAATCTTGGATTTATCTACTTGCCAAGCAATAGTATACTCACCCGTGGGGAGAGCCACTGAGTGGCTCTTTGAAGGAAAATGTTAGGGCTTTTTTTTGCTAAAAGGTCAGTTCATTGTGATTATACTAATCAAGAATTAAAGCTTGTACAATGGAATAGGTGGCTTGAGTCCATAAGTCCATACAAGGCTTAAAACACAGGTCCCTCTTGTCATTGGTCAGGAATGAGTCTTCTCTTTCAGGTCTTCAGGTCCAATAAGAGTCTGGCACATTATGATTCTTAGACATTTATCAGCGTTGGCTGGTTTGAACCACTTATGGTTGAAATACAGCTTTCCATTTTGACACATTTGAAGCAGATGTAAAAAGCATAGTTTTAACTTAGAGTGTCCTCTAAGTGATGACCCACTAAACAGAAGACTATCATGATTTATACTTTTTTCTCTATATATGCTTTATTTCAATAAAAAGTTTTTTAAAGATAAAGATCAAATAAAATATTTTTTAAAGTCTCTGTTGTTTATTAATTGCACAGAAGCACCTTTATTCTCATTAAAAATTATTAAAAACCAAGTTGTTGTTCTTGTTTCTGGTTAGGCCAATATGATTGAATAAGCATTACTACCTTCTAAAATATTGGTTCAATCCTTTGTGATACAGAAGTTTCTTAAATGGAATGACTTTGCCTGCCACCACCCCAGGGGCATTTGGCAATGTCTGGACACATTTTTGGTTGTCACCACTGGGAGAAAGGGTGTGCTCTTGGCATCTTGTGGGGAGAGGCCAGGGATGGTGCTAACCCACGTCAGTCCCCCACAGCCATGAATTATTTGAATTAATTAAATTATCTGGTTCTGTCACAGGCACTCTTGGCTGCCTATCTAATAGCCACTCTTCTTTGCTGACAGAGCCAGATTTCCTTTCACCTCCCCATCTTTCATTACAGCATGGACTGAGCCACTTCTGGCCAATGGGCAGCCACCATTATTCTCTGAAGGTTGGCATGGTTAGATATGGGAACAGATGCACATGGAGTTGCCCAGCAGGATCCTGCTCATCCTCGCTTGCCTCTGCCACACGTCCATCTCTTGCTCCCAACAGCAGCCCCAGACCACCTCTAGATGCTTGGTTGAAAACCCACACAAGGAACAGCTTCCCGTAGACTCCTTCTTCCCCTTCGTGGATGTTGGTGGTGGCATGTGCTTGACTTATTGGTCAGGCTGGCTTATTAGTCAGCCCTCTGATCCTCCAACTTCCCCTCTCAGACCTTCAGTTCTCTGGTTCCTCTGGTAGCTGGTAAGGTCTTGTTCCCATCATAGATCCCTCATCCTGGTGGTTCTGTTTCCCTGACAAAGACGAAAGGATGTATTGGGATATTCCTCAGCCTTGCAATGGACAGTGTTCTCTGTCTCTTGATATTATGAAATTTCCATCTTTTATTGCACTTCAGAAAAAGAGAGTCTGGTCTAATCTAGGAAGGACAATCACTCTGATTTGGGCAGGTTCTAAAACAGAAAGGTATTATTCATAACCTCACATACCCATTTAGACACATTCATGGAAAAGGTGACTTTTAGATAAATCTGATTTTACTTTCAATTTCTGGAGAGAAAGTGGGCTACCTGATGCACTTCTGAGAAATGGATCTAGCAAGGCTTGCTCACTGTTTCCCTGCTCACTGTAAATGTCCAAATGGGATCTTTGCAATGATTTACTGGCATTACACCAAAGTATAATTGTATTTAATCAAGATCTGATCTCAAGGACAATTTTTTCTTCCATCAAATCCTAAGCACAAGAGGCCCACCACACTTGAAAATCTTTTTGTTGAGATTTCCGGCCAGTTTCCTCTTTTGTAAAAAAGTGAGCAGTGACTGCAGTGGGTGAGGATTTACTCATCTTCCTGGTTTGTGCTTTTGACAGACACACAAAGTTTCTGAGGAAGTAAGCTTCATGTTTAAAATATATTTATGAAAAAATATATTTATGTTAAACTTTACCTGTTTAAAAATCAGGCAGATCGATCTGATTCTCAAATAATTATTTATGATAGAAAATTTGGAAAACACAGAAAATTTTTAAGGTGATACGCAAGTCACTCTAGACCCCTCAACCCAGAAATACCACTGACACCATCTTTAGCACTTCAATCTCATCTCTGGAGATTGTATATATATTCATGCTTTACAAAATTAGGGCCAAATTATATATACTGAGGAGGTAGCTTTAAAAATAAAATAACCCCTGAGTCAGACTGGAGAGTAATGTAATATTTGAAGACACGAGAGAAAGCAAACTATGCCGGTGTTTGTGTTGTTTATAAAATAATTCTGAGACAGTGGCAGAAGCATTACTTCTCTAAAGTCCTGGGTTTGGTGATGGACACAATAATGCTGTGGAATAAATAATTTCAAAGTTTCAGTGGCTTGCAGCAGTAAGCATTGATTCTTCATGCACGGCTCTGTGGGTCCACTGGGCTTGGCTGATCTAGGTGGGGCTTGACTGGGCTCTGACATGCTCCAAGGGCCTCTTATCTGACCAGCAGTGCCTGGGACATATTCTCATGCTGAATGGCCAGAACCCATGTGCTGAGCCAAACTGCAGAAGCTCATTCAAAGCCTTTGCCTTTGCTCATGATCCAAATGACGACAGATGACAATATTGTTTTTACATCGCTGTTAAGAGCTATAGTTTTGGTGAGAGATGTGGGAGCAGGATTTGAGCTTGTAACGACCTCCAGCAAAGGGCCTGCCTTAACCCAAGGCAGTTTTTGATCCTTTCTCTCCTTGAAGTACGGATCGGCTCTACTTTTTCCATGTCTGCATCTCTGGCCTCCTTCATAGTAGGGTCTGGCTCCCCATGGGAAGTAGACATCTGGTGTCAAATAGATTTATGTTCTGGAGGCATTTTCCTTCCCAAATAGCCTTACCTCATCACAACGCAGAAGGGACCTGGCCCAAGAGCTCCCAGTATTGACAACACCAGCCAATATTTTAGACACATCTTTTCCTTGCATCAGCAATAGCAGCTTCATCCCGACTTTATAGGAAATGAGCGTGGTTGCAATTAATGCCCATAAATCACACTTGCCTGGAGCAGACTTCTCTTTTTTGATTCCTCATTACATTGTGGGCTCATCAAAAGGGCTCAGCTAAGACTTGATAAGTCAGTTTCATGGTGAATGACCACCCTCCAAAGGGGGCAGCACAGTGTGACCCCGAACACACAGTGGAAGGGCCCTCCCCCATGGTGCTCTGTCTTGTGGACCCCACCAGGTTGTGCTTCTGGCTTCACTTCTCAGGGTAGCCTCCTCTCTTGTTATTCCCCAGTGGCAGGAGGCTATGTGGACATGGTACAGCCCTAGAGCTCTTCCAACTTCCTCCCTATAATCTGTGTTCCCATTCCATGCACAGGACTCCTGAACACATATGGATGAGGCTGGGAGTCCCAGGCTCACAGACCCCCATGGATAGTTCCAAACATGGGGAAGTTGTTAGTGGGAAGAGGTGGGCAGAGCTGGCTGTGGGTTGCAGGTTTAGGCCCCAGCAGCACCAGGTAGGGGGCCTGGCCTGCTCAGGGACAAATAGAGTGGAGTCCTGGCCTTATCCCAGATATAACAGCCAGCATCGAATGATGGCAGTTCCTACACTTTAGCCTTCCAGGCAGAGCTGAGCTCCCACCAGTCTGGAAAACTGGCCAAGCCTCTTCCACGGTGGCCCTGGGGGCTTCCTCCCTCCCCTGTGGTGGGCACTTATATCTGTTGCACAGGAAGGGGCTCCTGGAGAACACATCTTTGGGGGCATCAGCACTCACAGCACCAGAGGTGCTGGGTATGGTCAGCCTGGGGCAGCCAGGGGCAGAAAGTTGCCCTCCATGCAACTGGGAGGGCCCAGGTTAGACCCTGACCACTGAGCCCATAATGGAACACCCATCCCATTTAACAAAACAGACATGAAAATGGCTGCCTTCTGAAATTTCTGATTGCAGAATTTTGTATAAGCTTATTGAGGTTGTGGTTTTCCTTCTGCACCCTTCTATCTTTGTGTCCTGCTTTCCTAGTTGGCTGTGGGTTCTTTTTAAAACACCGAAGCTCCCCCACCCCCACCCCATCATACCAAACACATCAAAATGTCCCCACCTTCAAAATCAAATGCAATTTTTATCTCACTATATATCAGTTGAATTATAATTGACTATTTGACATTAAAAATATATCTTACAGATATTTAACTAAAGTTAATGTTCATCCTGTGTTTTCTTTCAAAAGTTGGAATCAGTACTCTCCCCTGTCACTCCCTCCTCAGACTGCAGGCCCTTGGAAAGTTGGTCCTTGTGCTTAGTCAGCCTGCTGGGCCCGCCAGTGGGACTTGAAATGCACTGTCATCCAGACCTGGAGAAGAGCTGACAGTTGGTGATTCCAGTCTCTGCACAGTCACAGAATCCTGGGGTACCCCGAAGGCAATTTTCCGGAGAATTTACTCCCATGGGAGTTTGTCATTGCAGTGTTCCTCCAACTGGAAGTATACTTATTCGGCAATCAGAATTCATTCATGTTGTATGCAATCCTCATGCCAATGTTTGTCTTATATCTGACACTGTCCCTGAATCAGGAGCCTGGAGTAAAGCAAGCCAGGTATGTCAAGTCTCGTCCCCATGTAGCTGACCTCCTGATGGCCAGATGGGCCGAGGGCAGAACAGCTAGTCTTTCTGCGTCACATCCAAGTCACCCGTGTCCCCTGCAAGACTGGGCTTCCCACGGGGATCTCCCACCCGAGTGTCATAGGTACCAGGATGTCAATCCTGAAGAACAGGTGGAAAAAGCAGACACCAGGCAGGAAAAAGCAGAGGTAGAAGTGACAGATAGAAGCGGCACAAGGAAATCCAGACCAGGTGCCCAGGACGGCTTGCAACATCTGCAGCTTGCTCTTGGGGCCTGCCCACAGCGGCCATGGCTGCAAGAGGCTGTGGACAGAGGCTGCTGATGTAAAAGTTGCTAAGCCCATGTTCAATCTGCATGGGCAGGGTCAGAGGGCTGCGGACCTTCTGAAAACGAGGCAGGTAAGTCATATCTCAGGGAGCACATAGCTTTTATACACAGGATGAGCAAAGAAATGGTTGGGCTGGACTCTTGGATGACTATTGGCAAATGGCAAATGCAATGTATTTATATTGGAGATGATGGGTGAAAGACAGTGCCTGATTTAAGCCAGGGGATTTCGTGTTTCTCTTGCCCAATTCCTTCCAGCCCCTCTTGTGGCACCGTTCCGGGGCCTGTTCCTCTGTGACGGTGGCTCATGGGCAGGTAGACTTGTGACAGGTGGTCTGTAATAGCAAACACTTGGGGGTACTCTGTGGCAGTATCATTTGTCATAGTTAAAGAAGAGTGAGATGGGTCTTGATTCGGGATGATGGTGCCCACAGAGACACTGGTCCGCAGGAGAGCCCAAACTCTCTTTTCAATATTGCAAAAAGTTAAGAAACAAACCAAAGAAATCTTTCCTTCGATGACCCTGTCACTTAACACACAAATGCATGATTTCCTTGGCACAGAAATCACAATGTATTTTCAACTAAAATAAAATTTTCTCTGTTAACCTAATTCTATGTCACTTTTTTTTCAGACTCCAAATTGATGATATTAAAAAGGAGAATGCAGGGGCGCCTGGGTGGCTCAGTCAGTTAAGCATCTGCCTTCAGCTCAGGTCATGATCCTAGAGTCCCAGGATCAAACCCTACATCTAGTTCTCTGCTTCTCCCTCTCCCTCTGCCCCTCTCCACTTGTGTTCTCTCTCTCACTCACTCTCTCAAATAAATAAATAAAATCTTTTTTTAAAAAAAGGAGAGTGCAGTAAAAAGTTCGCTTTGTTCAAAGTGCTCACATTAAGTTGCTAAAATAATTATATATATATATATCCCCATGTAGGACTCAATCCCAGAAGCCTGGGATCATGACCCTAGCCAAAAGCAAACGCTTAATCAACTGAGCCACCTATGCGCCCCATTTTTTTTTATACATCTTATGTTGACTAATGCAAACTGTGTACTTTTAACAATTTTAACTGACGTATAGTTGACATACAATATTATATTAGTTTCCAGTTGTACAACATATTTATATACATTTATATACATTATGAGATGTTTGCCATGATAAGAATAGATATCGTCTGTCACGATGAAGTTATTACAGTATTATTGAATGTATTTCCTATGCTGTACTTGATCACATATTAATAAGCATGTTACAAGACATTTATATGTTTGGAAAAAAAAAGTTCTTTATTCCAATATTCTTTTAAAAATTCCAGGAATTTCTAGCTACAAAGTACAAGAGGGGAAAACCTTTAGCATAAAAAAACAGTCAGGCCTCTGGTTGTAGACAAGCCTATGGAGATTCACTTCTCTCAGCTCCTTTCTGCTAAGAACAATTAAAAGCCCTCGAGATAATTCTTTACCCATTCATCTATGGACAGACACTTATATTGCTTCCATATCTTGGCTATTGTAAGTAATGTTGCAGTAAACATAGGGATGCATGTATCTTTTCAAATTAGTGTTTTCATTTTCTTTGGGTGAGTACCCAGTAGTGGAATGACTGGAGCATATGATATTTTCACTTTTAATTTTTTGAGGAGCCTCCATACTGTTTTCCACAGTGGCTGCACCAGCTTGCATTCCCACCAACAGTGCACAAGAGTTCCTTTTTCTTGACAGCCTCGCCAACACTTGTCATTTCTTGTCTTTTTGATTCTAATCACCCTGACAGGTGTGAGGTGATGTATCATTGTGGTTTTGATTTGCATTTCCCTGATGATTAGTGATGTTGAGCATCTTTTCATGTGTCTGTTGGCCATCTATATGTCTTCTTGGGAAAATATCTGAATAGATTCTCCACCCATTTCTTAATCAGCTTGGTTTTTGGTGTGGAGTTATATAAATTATGTATATATTTTGGATATTAACCCCTTGTCGGATATATCATTTGCAAATATCTTCTCCCATTCAGTAGGTTTTGTTGATGGTTTCTTTGCTATGCAAAGACTTTTTATTTTGGCATAGTCCCAATAGTTTAATTTTGCTTTTGTTTCCCTTGCCTGAGGAGATATATCCATAAATATGTTGCTAAGGCTGATGTCCAAGAGATTATTGCCTATGTTTTCATTTAGGAGTTTTATGTTTCGGGTCCCACATCTAGGTCTGTAATCCAGTTTGAGTTTTTTTTGTGTGTTTGGTGTAAGAAAATGGTCCAGTTTCATTCTTTTGCATGTAGCTGTCCAGTTTTCCCAGAACCATTTATTGAAAACATAGTCTTGATGTTGGCGAGGATGCGGAGAAAGGAGAACCCTCCTACACTGTTGGTGGAATGCAAGCTGGTGCAACTACTCTGGAAAACAGTCTGGAGGTTCTTCAAAAAGTTGAAAATAGAGCTTTACCCTATGACCCAGCATTTGCACTACTGGGTATTTACCCCAAAGATACAAATGTAGTGATCCAAAGGGGCACATGCACCCCAATGTTTATAGCAGCAATGTCCACAATACCCAAACTATGGAAAGAGCCTAGATGTCCACCAATAGATGAATGGATAAAGAAGATGTGGTATATATGGAATATTATGCAGCCGTAAAAAATGAAATCTTGCCATTTGCAACAACATGGATGGAACTAGAGGGTATTATGCTAAGGGAAATAAGTCAGTCAGAGAAAGACAAGTATCATATGATCTCACTGATATGAGGAATTTGAGAAGCAAGACAGAGAATCATAGGGGAAAGGAGGGAAAAATGAAAAAGATGAAACCAGAGTGGGAGACAAACCATAAGAGACTCTTAATCTCAGGAAACAAACTGAGCGTTGCTGGAGTGGAGGGGGGTGGGAGGGATGGGGTGGCTGGTTGACAGACATTGCGGAGGGTATGTCCTATGGTGAGCACTGTGAATTGTGTAAGACTGATGAATCACAGACCTGTACCCCTGAAACAGATAATACATTATATGTTAATAAAATAAATAAATAAATAAATAAATAAATAAATAAATAAAAAATAATGAAAAGACTATCTTCTCTTCATTGTCTATTCTTGCTTCTTTTGTGGTGGATTAATTGACCATATAAGGATGGGCTTATTTCCGAGCTCTGTATTTTGGTCCATTGATCTATGTGTCCATTTTTGTGCCAGTACTATATTGTTTTGATTATTATAGCTTTATCATACATTTGAAATCTGGGATTGTGATACCTCCAGCTTTGTTCTTCTTACTCAAGAATGGAGCAAGATGATTTGGCTATTGGAGATGATTATTTTTGATATGGTCAAAATTGATATGGTTATGGACAAAATTCAACATCATTTTATGAAAAACTCTTAGCAAGCTAGGAATTGAAGAAAACTTCTTAAACTTGATTAAGAGCATCTACAACCTACTGCATACAGAATACTCAATGGTGGAAGACAAATTTCTTTCCTCTAAGATATGGAGCAAGATAAAATGTCTGCTCTCCCCACTCTTACTCAGTATAGTACTGAAATTCTTAGCTCCAAAAGGCAAGAAAAAATTTTTTAAAAGATACAGAACAAAAAGGAAGAAATAAAACTGGCCCTGTTTGCACATGGCGTGGTTCTTTATGTAGACAATCCCAAGATATCTAGAAAAAAAGTCTTAGAACTAATAAGCGAGTATAGTAAGGTTGTGGGATACAAGATCAACACATAAAAATAGATTGTATTTTTATAAGCAACAACATACAGAAACCAAAATGTAGAAATACAATAGTATTTGCAATTTTCAAAAGAAGAGAGAAATATTTAGATATAAATCTAATAGAACATGTCCAGAATCTGTGTGCCAAAATTAGAAAATACTGATGAATAAAATCAAAGAAGATCTAAACAAATGGAGATGTACTGTGTTCTTGGATAGGAAGACTCAACATAGTGAATGTGTCAATTCTCTCCCAAATTATTCCATAATCTTAATGCAACATATATCAAATTTCCAGCAAGTCTTTTTTACATAGACAAGCCCATTGTAAAGTTTATATGGAAAGGCATATGTTAAGAAAGAAGAATAAAATGCAAGGAATCACTCTAGCAGATATAAGTCTTACTTTAAAAGTTACTGTAATTAAGACAATGTGGTATTGGCAGAGGGAGAGACATAGATCACTGGAACAGGACAGAGAATCCAGAAATCAACTCACACAAATATGCTCAACTGATTTTTGACAAATGTGTAAAAGCAATTGTATGTAAGAAAGATAACCTTTCGGGGCACCTGGGTGGCTCAGTTGGTTGGGCGACTGCCTTCGGCTCAGGTCATGATCCTGGAGTCCCGGGATCGAGTGCCGCATCGGGCTCCCTGCTCGGCAGGGGGTCTGCTTCTCCCTCTGACCCGCTTCCCTCTCGTGCTCTGTCTCTCATTCTCTCTCTCAAATAAATAAATAAAATCTTTAAAAAAAAAAAAAGATAACCTTTCGACAAAAGATATTACAGCAGTTGAACATCGATAGGGGAAAAAAAGAATTGCAACCTAAATCTCACACCTTATACAATTAACTCAAAATGGGTCATAGACTTAAATGTAAAACAAAACTATAAAACTTTTAGAAGAAAATGGAGGAGGAAATCTTTGGGATGTAGAGTTAAGCAGAGTTCTTAGACTTCACTCCCAAACCACAATCCATAAATAAAAAAGTAATATACTGGACTTCATCAAAATGAAAACTTTTGCTTGTCAAAGATCCTTGTAAGATGATGAAAAGACAAGCCATGGGCAAGGAGAAGATATTTGCAAACCACATACCTGGCAAAGGACTTGTATGTAGAATACATAAAGAATACTCAAGATGTAACAGTAAAAACAGTAATGATAAAAACAAAAACAAAATCACACAAAAAAGCCCAATTAGACAAATGGGCAAAACACATGAACAAAAAAACTTTTCACCGAAAGGAGATACAGAAGGCACATAAGTACATGAGAAAATATGCAACATCATTAGCTATTAGAGAAATACAAATTTAAGCCACAATGGGATATCACCACATGCTTATTAGAATGACTAAAATAATAATAAAGATAACACCAAACATGGCAAGGATGTCAAGAAACTGAAACTTTAGTACATTGTTGGTGGAAATGTAAAAATGATATGGTCACTCTTGAAAGTAGTTTGGCTGTTTCTTAGAGAACTAAATGTGCACTAACCATATGAAACTGCAATGAAATGAAAAGTTATGTTCACACAAAAATGTGTATATGAATGTTGATAGCAGCTTTATTCATGTTAATAAAAAAGTGAAAACAGCCAAAAGTCCTTCAAAGTGTGCAAGGTTGAACAGACCCTGGTACACCTACAAAATGGAATAATACTCAGCAATAAGAGGAACAAACTTTTGATATACACAACAGCTTGGTAGATCTTAAGAGCAGGACATTTAGTGAAAAAAGCCAATCTGAAATGGTTTCATATGGTGAGTCAACTTAAAGCACCTTCAAAATGACAAGACTATAAAGTTGGAGAACAGGTTAGGAGTTGTCATGAACTGATTCAAGAGTTGGGCAGATGGGGGAGATTATAGAGAGATGGTAGAAAGTTCATCGACAATGATGGAACAATTCTGTGTCCAGAACATGGTGTTACATGAATCTGTACACAGAGGAAAACTGCAAAAAACCACACACACACACACACACGTGTGCACACACACACAAATGCAGGTTAGAAAAAGGTAAAACTGAGTAAGGTCTGTAGTCTAGTTAATAGTGTGTGCCAAATGTTAATTTCTTGGTTTTGGGATTGTGCTATGGCCATGTCACCATTGGAGGGCTCAAGAAACTCTATGTACTATTTTTACAACTTCCTGTGAGTCTACAATCATTTCCAAATAAACAGTTAAAAAAGCAGCGAATATTGATGCTTGTTTTTTCCCCTTTAATACAGATTTTCTTAGATTCTATAGTTAGATCTCACGCAGTTCTCCAAAATAACATCACTAAGCTACAGTAAAATCCTGTGCTGTTCTGATTGGAGACAGAACAGCATTTAAACAAATCTAACATTTTGTGGAAACACAACCCTGATCAGGTGGAGACTTGTTGCCTTACACATAGCCCAAGGCCTAGAAAATGTATGGTTACACCATCCACACATTTCATATATGGCCAGAAATTTGAGTTAGATTGTTTTCTAGATACTACGTTGTCTATATGTGTGTGCACGTGTGCAAACTTTATCGGGAAATAGAAGAGATAAACTCTTGCATCTTTTCTGTTATAGCAAAGCTAGAAATGGTTAAAATTGTATTTGATAATGAGAAATGAGAGAATGGATATCATGTGAATCTTTGAAGAACGTCACTGTGGAACGTGGACCAAGACAATGAAAACCCATCAAAAGGTGAATAATAAGTAGAAGTGCTGACAGGCAAAGGGAACTCATATCCCATATATTTCATGGTTTATAACTGGTACAAAAATAACAATTATAACTACAGGTGAAAAGAAGAAGGAGGGGCGCCTGGGTGGCTCAGTTGGTTAAGCGACTGCCTTCGGCTCAGGTCATGATCCTGGAGTCCCTGGATCGAGTCCCGCATCGGGCTCCCTGCTCAGCAGGGAGTCTGCTTCTCCCTCTGGCCCTCCCCCCGCTCATGTGCTCTCTCTCATTCTCTCTCTCTCAAATAAATAAAAAAAAAAATGAAGGAAAGAAATACAGGAATGCAGAAGGAAGGAAAGAAGGGAGGGAAGGAAGGAAAGAAATCATAATTCTCAGGCCACAGGTGCAAAGACAAACAGGAAGAGGGATGTGGTGTGGTGAGGGAGCTCAGGCAGAGACCCTTCCCTACACACACACACGCACACGCACACACACATTCTAGCCTGTATTGACTTTCTTTCCAACCACCCGATTCTTTCCTTTCAACACCTTCTAGATTTAAAACCCAAAGCAGTCATCTGTTCAGGCACCAAGGCATCCTTGACCTCCCATCTGGAATCCCGATTTTCAGAGCTCTGCACTGTGGTGTTTGTGGTTGTCTCCTCGTCCAACCAAAACCCAGGCTGTGTGGCAGGGAAGTTGGAGCAGCAGAGAGAGGCTGCCCCTGGCCTCCAGTCTCCCTTTCCTGTCTCAAGGTTCATGTCTGGAAAACCACCTGGGTGCAAGCCTCTTGTCTCCCATTCACTGGCTATGACCCTTGAACAAAACTGATTTTGTTGTTTTGAAGCCTTAGTTCTCCAGCTGGAAAATGGAGAGAATTACAGTCTTGACTTCTTCAAGTTTGTAAGGATGAAGCTGGATTGGATCACAATTTGCTATTGCGACATCCTAAACTTCGCCCTTAGCTTGAGTACCATGGCTTCAGGACCCCACACTTGGACCCACGAGGGCAAGGGGTGCCAGGCCATTCCTTGTTCAGATGCTGGCTCTGCAAGGGTACCCGTGCTTCAGTGCTGAGTGCAAGCTCAGGGGAGGATGGACCCAGGGCTCCTGAGGAACAGCAGGTGCACCTGTTTTCACTGTGTTTCGGAAATGACCCTTCCTTCCTCACCTTCTCTCATAACACTTTGTCCAAAGATAATTTAACAAAGGATAAAGCAGCGATACAAATACTGAAAGTAAGTTTATAAATTTTAACTGTTGCAATAGAATCACAAACATTGTCATAAAGCCGCCAACAATACCCATTGGGGTGGGAGTGTTCACAGACAGGTAACCAGCTCCCCAAAGGAAGTGCTCATTGAACTTCAAAGTTCAGGGACATTCTTCATCACTGTTACCAGCCTCAGCCTCACACTGTTCTCTCCCATTCGGAAGGACTTGGTCACCTCCAGGGTCACCATGCCGGTTCCAGGGCTGACCCAGCAGAACTGATGAAGATAGTGGGTGCTTCGTTACACACTTAGAACAAAAGAAAGCACACACTGGGGTGTAAGTAAATTTCCATTTTAGTTTTCCAGACATGAACCTTGAGACAGGAAAGGGAGACTGGAGGCCAGGGGCAGCCTCTCTCTGCTGCTCCAACTTATCAAAGAGGGTAAACATGTTTTGGTTGATGAAATTAAGTATTTTCAATAAACACCTCCCTCTTTCAACATTCTTCCTTACATTTAAAAAATTGTGGTAAAATACACACCACATAAAAGGTACCATCTTAACCACTTTTAACTGTACAGTTCAGTAGTGTTAAGTATATTCACACCACCTACCATCCCCAGAATTCTTTTCATTTTGCAAAACCAAAAGTCTGCACCCATTAAATACTAACTCCCCATTCCTCCCTCCTCCCCAGCCGCTGGCAACCCCCATTCTACGTTCTGCCTCTATGAAGTTGACTACTCCAGGTGCTTCATGTAAGTGGGATCATACAGTATTTGTCTTTTTGTGCCTGGCTTATTTCATTTAAGATTATGTCCTCGGGCGCCTGGGTGGCTCAGTCGTTAAGCGTCTGCCTTCGGCTCAGGTCATGATCCCAGGGTCCTGGGATCGAGTCCCACATTGGGCTCCCTGCTCAGCGGGAAGCGTGCTTCTCCCTCTCCCACTCCCCCTGCTTGTGTTCCTGTTCTCGCTGTCTCTCTCTGTCATATAAATAAATAAAATCTTTAAAAAAAAAAAGATTATGTCCTCAAGTTTCATTGTTGTCGCAAGTGTCAGAATCTCCTTCGTTTTTAAGATTGAATAATATTTCATTGTTTCTATAGACCACATTTTGCTTATCCATTCATTTGTCAATGAACACTTGAGTTGCTTCTACCTTTCGGCTGTTGTGAATAACGCTGCTATGAACATGGGCATAAATATTTCTTTGAGCCCTTACTTTCAATTATTTTTGTAAACATGCATCTGTGTAATTTCTAGATCATATGGCATCTCTATTTTTAATTTTTTGAGGGACGTCCATACTTTTTTCTGCAGGGGCTGCATCAATTTACATTCCCACCAATAGTGCACGAGGGTTCCAGTTTCTCCACATCCTGGCCAGCACTTGGTTTTTCTGTTTTTGACGGTAGCCATCTTAATGGTGGGAGATGCCTCTTTACATTTAAAGCAGGAGTAAGTATGGCCATGACCATTCTTTAAGTGTAGTAAGGGCGGGTCCTTAGGTAAGACGACGTGGGACAGCATGATGAGACCTGGGATCATCTATTTACTTGCTGTGTTCCTGCTATACGGTCTACCTTCTGAGGACAGGATGTATCTTTTACATTTCTTTATTCTCAGCCTCTAACAAGAAATATCCCATTAATGGTGAACTGGTTGAATGAGAGGGATTTATTCATTGTTCCTCCCTCCCTTCTTATCCCTTCCCTGACCTCTCAGGAAGCCCCTGTCTGCCCAAGGGAAGACCCCATAACAGGCACAGTATCCCAGAGACAGCTGGGTAGGTTTCAAGGACTCCTCCAAACCAGGTGTTTGGGTCTTATCAGCCACTGTGGGCAAGAGCTGAGCAGACCCATTTTCAAGATCTGCAAGTGGAAGGGAAGTAGCAGTTGCATCATGTTTATGCTTGGTGCAGGAGCTTTGCAGCTCAGGCACACTGTCCCAGATGCTTTGTGTCACCTCGTTGGCATGGGACAGCAGCCAGGCCTGCAGCAGTCAGCCCCACCAATTCCCCTGCTCTAGCCTCTTCGACCGTTGGGTCAGGAGTTTGCTCATGTCCATAGTGATGGTTTCTGCAGGTGGAGGTTTGGAGATGGGGAGAAGCCAAGAGGTTATTTTTGAGGGTTCTAGCTAGGGTTCCTTGTTCCAAGGTCATCTTTGAGGGTTCTAGCCAGGGTTCCTTCTTCTCCCCATTTCATGTCCATCTGTCCTTCAGGGATAGCCCAGCAGTGACTTCAAGTCCAGCACCAGATGGAAGCAGCAGCTCTACATGAACCCTTTAACCACTTCCCACAGATGTGTGAGGTCAAATCCCACAGTAAATCCTACATTCTGTATCATTCCTTATGGTTCTGCTTCCTTGATGGAACCCTGGCTAACACAGACCCACTCACTAGGATTGAGGATGTGAGGGAAGCCAGGATCAGTCTTCCAGCTACAGTCTGAGGGTTTGAGTTTCCTGTGGATCTTTGCACTGCAGGACCAAACTGTGCATCGTGGGAAGACAGAGGAATCCACAGAAGATGGCCCAGGGATCAGAAAAGCCACCTGGAACAGAGACGGGAGGGCCTCCCAGTACATGGAGGAGGACAATTCTGGCAAAGGGATGACTGTGAGGTGGGAGAAGAGCCAGGAGGGTGGGTATCAGGGAATCTTTGGTGTCTGTCCTGTGATGATCAAAAGGAGCTCAGAGAGAACTGACCTCTTCTTTCCTGAGCAATCAGAGCTCCACTTGTCACTATTGCAATGAGAGAGAGGACACCTTGCCCTTTGCAGGCACTGTTCGATATTGTGTTCTTGTCCCTCAGGGAGCAGTGTGCTTGGTGGGGTAAGTGTGTGGGTCCTGGAATTGACAAGTCCAGGTTGGTGTGTGTCCCAGCTGCACCATGAACAGAAGTGTGATCTCCAGAAGCTATTTAATCCTTTGTGCCTCAGTTTCCCCATCTGTAGATAAAGATATCTACATCATGAACTTGTTGTGAATGTGTAATGTCAAACACTCAGCACATGCCTGACACGTAGTGAGTGCTCAGAAAAACGTGATTCAGCTTTAAAATTCAGATGGGCTCCTGCTTGTTGCTTCACAACTGGGTATGTGGTCTTTTTCCTGTACCAGCTGTGGGAATCTTTCCCAATTCTCATCCATTCAGGTTCTGTCTCCTACACGTAACTTTCTTTCCTTAGTTTCTAAAAGGGCTGTCTTAGCTGATTCTCTGCTTTATCAACAAAGGTATTTATCAACAAAAGTTCTTTCTTGAGTGCTGGGCTAAGCCACGCTCTTTTGTGTTTTTCCTGACACCATGTAAATCCCTGAACAAGACAGGCCCCCATTAAGTCCATGGGGACTGCCACCCTGGTGTGAGTGCCATGAGAATGGACCAGAAGGGAGAGTTCTTTCTTCAGGGGACCCTGCCTGCAGCCACCATCCATTAGGGCAATCTCTGGGGACCTGGGTTTTCTAGACTGTGTTTCAGGTAAGAACTGTATTCATGTTCATTAGGAAGTAATGTAAGCTTACCTTATCTGGCTCATGTACGTAGTTTTTATTGAAAGACTATGGTAACAAAGGTCTTCTCACTGATTTCTGTATTTCTCTATTATAACACAGGGAAAAACAGGTTTAGATTTCCTTCACGGAGGGTTTCCTGGGTCACCTATGAAAAAAACAATTAAAAACAAAATCATACTACTATAGCTACAGACACATGAACTAACTGTTATGTGTAGGATGTGGAGAAAGGGGAACCCTGTTGCTATTGATGGGAATGCAAGCTGGTGTAGCCACTGTGGAAAACAGTATGGAGTTTCCTCAAAAAGTTAAAAATAGAGCTACCCTATGATCTAGTAATTGCTCTACTGGGTATTTACCCAAAGTATACGAAAACACTAATCCAAAAGGATATAAGCACCCCTATGTTTATTGGAGCATTATTTATAACAGCCAAATCATGGAAACAGCCTAAGTGTCCACTGATAAGATAAATGGATAAAGAAGATGTAGTATATAAATACAATGGAATATTATTCAGCCATAAAAAGAATGAAATCTTGCCAATTGCAGCAACATGGGTGGAGCTAGAATATAATGCTAAGAGAAGTAAGTCAGAGAAAGACAAATACCATAATTATTTCACTCATATGTGGAATTTAAGAAACAAAACAAATGAAGAAAGGAAAAGAGAGAGAGAGGAGAGAGAGAGAGAGAGAGAAACCAAGAAAAAGACTCTTAACTCTCCATAGACTCTATAGGCTCTCTATAGAGAACAAACTGATGGTTACGAGAGGGGCGTTGGGTGGGGGATGGGTGAAACAGGTGATGGGGATTAAGGAGTGCACTTGCTGTGATGAGCACTAGGTGATGTACAGAATTGTTGAATCATTATATTGCACATCTGAAACTAACACAACACTGTATGATAACTATACTGGAGTTAAAATAAAAAACGTAATAAAATTAAAAAAAAATTAAAATCCAGGAAAGAGGGAGGGAGTCCTCAAAAAGTAAAAAAGGGAAAGAGAGGTAGAAGAAATCCAAGCCTGAACTGACAAGAAACAGTTGGTTAGAGGACAGAGACCCAGATGTGAGGCTCAGGGAATCAGTGCAAAGAGCTCTGGAAGTGAAGACATCGAGGTGCTTGTCTTTCATCTCCGATCGGATACGCTGAAGACCCAGATGTGTGTCAGAGAACCCAGGGCCTCAGGCTTACTTGGTTCCTACCCTCATGCAGCTCCCAACTGACGAGCTGCTGCAAGCTTCTCTGAGGGATGCCACACCACAGTGTTTCCTACTGAGCATCCACTTCCCTGATCTGCAGTCCTACATTTAGTGACTAGTGGGTCTTGGCAGTTTCAGTATCTTTCCCCAAAAGCTTCTCTTTTCAACTAAAATGCACCTGTGTAGATGAATTATGCTGATTTGCTTTGAGGGATTCAGTCAGTGTTTTTTTTAAATTTTATTTTATTATGTTATGTTAGTCACCATACATCATTAGTTTTTGATGTAGTGATCCATGCTTCATTGTTTTCGTATAACACCCAGTGTTATTAATGTATCAGGTATGATGTGACAAAGTGTTGAATCATAGAAAGCAAAGTATTTATTTGTAAAGGGGAGATGAGGTCCAAAATATTTCAGAAGTTTTCTTTCCCTTTTTATTATACTTCACATAGCACAAGAAACACAAAATGAAAAATGAATATTCAGGAGTAAGGAACTCAGCAAGATGGTGGAGTAGGAAGCCCCACATTCTCCTTCTCCCCACAAACACACTGATTCAGCAACAATTCATGGACCACTTTTCTTTGTGAGAAATAAATTAATTGCAAGGCTCTTACATCCTTGGAGAACATAAAATCAGGCTCCGTGAATATGGCAGTGAGATTTGGGACACCTTGTTGCCAGAGACCTTGTCCTTGGCACAATGCCAACAATCAGGAAGAGACCCCTTAGCTTCCAGGTTCACTCAGAGGAGAGAAGGGTTTGGTTTATGTGTCTAGTGCCCCAAATTTTCAGGGGGGCTCCACAGAGGACTGGATTCTCTTTTACGGGTCTTACAGCTCTGATGGGTCCAGCACAATCCAGGCACCTGGGGAGAGCAGAGGTGGCAGCTTAGGCTGGTATTCTCCATTGATTCTCCCTCCTGCTTAGCACAGATTGAACTGATGAAAAATCCCAGTTCCCAGCTCCCCTGCTTCCCCCGCCCCCGGAGAGGGAAAGAGTTGATCTGTGTATTCCATATCTTAACTTTTCTGGGGATGCCCCAAAACTATATCCGTCTCATGAGTCCACATATGGGTATTTATCCAAAAGAATTGAAATCAGGACCCTAAACAGATAGTTAGTACTCTTATGTTCATTGTAGCATTATTCCCAATAGCCAAAATATGGAAACAACCCAAGTGTCCATCAGTGGATGAGTGGATAAAGAAAATATGATAGATACACATAATAGAATACTATTCAGTCCTTAAAAAGGAAATCTTCCAAAATGCAACAACACAGATGAAACTTGAGGACATTACGCTAAGTGAAACAAACCAGTTATAGGAAGGTAGATACCCCGTGATTCCACTCATATGCAGTCCCTAAAATAATCAAATTCTTAGAATCAAAGAGTGGAATGGTGGTTACCAAGGCCTGAGGACAGGGGGAAATGAGGAGTTACTAATCAATGGGCATAAAGTTTCAGTCAAGCCAAATAAATAAACTTTAGAGATCTACTGTACAGCATTGTACCTACAGCCAATAATATATTGTACACTTAAAAATTTACTAACAGGAGGGGTGCCTGTGTGGCTCAGTAGGTTAAGCGTCTGACTGTTGATCTCAGCTCAGATCTTGATCTCAGGGTCGTGGGTTCGGGCCTGGCGTTGAGCTCCCTGCACTGGGCATGGAGCCTACTTAATTTTAAAAATGTTAATAGGATACATCTTATATTACGTGTTTTTATTACAAGAAGATTAGAACATTTAAAAAGAAAGAAATGTTCATAAATGAGCACAGTCACAGAAATCTAAACTGGTATTATGAGATAAATTATGTGACAACACAAAAATATAGACAAAATGGATAATTATCTTATAAAATGGGTACTATCTGTTCTTCTTAATGAGTTGTACTCGAAATTTGGTATGCTTTTAGATACTACCATATTAATATACCCATTTAGTATAGTATAATTGCATTAGCTAAATTGAATCATTTGTGAATCTGAAACAATGTCTTTTTCTATTTCACAAACATACACACAGAGGGGAGCAAATGTAATAATCTATCTCAGGTCTCTTCTATATTTTCAAAGGATTCCAAGAAATAGAAGAGGAAGGAAAGCTTCCAGATTCATTCTATGAGTCCAGCATTACCCCAATACCAAAACTACATAAAGACACACAAAAAACTGCAGGCCAATATCTCTGATGAACATAGATGCAAAAATCCTCAATAAAATATTAGCAAACTGAATCCAACAGTACATTTAAAAAAATCATTCTGGGGGGCGGAGCAAGATGGCAGAGGAGTAGGAGACCTGGATTTCGTCTCCTCTCAGGAATTCAGCTGGATAGGGATCAAACCATTCTGAACACCTACAAACTCAACAGGAGATCGAAGAAAAGAAGAGCAACAACTCTCTCATCAGAAAAGCGACCACTTTCTGGGAGGTACGACTTGCGGAGAAGTGAATCCGAGGCGATATTCGGGAGGATAGACGGCGGGGGAGGGGCCTCCCTCCACCGCTTCTGGCAAGTGATAGAGCCGCGGAGCACAAAATCGGAACTTTTAAGTCTGCTCCGCCGAGGGACGTCACTCTGGTGGCTAAGCGGGGGGTGGAACCCTCCGGGACAGTGTGGTCTCAGGACCCTCGGGGTCACAGAAAGACCGGGGGTGCCTGAGTGTGGCAGAGCTCCCAGGTATCGGAGCAGGGAAGCCGGCTGCAGAGGCGGAGCCCAGGCACGGGCTCTCAGCTCGGGGTGGCCATAAACCGTGATCCCCGGCCCAGTCGGGCCCCTGCTCCTCCAGCAGGGACCCCACAAGCGGCAGATCCGGGGAGACTCCCCTTCCTCCCTCGGGAGGAGCCGCGCGGGAGTGCACCGCAGGGATCTGCTGGGTTTGGAGACTCCACCCGGGGTCTGGTGCCAGAGATAGACACGCGCGATCACAGGCTGGGTGAGCACGGAGTGTGGCCGGAGACCAGGGAGACGGGAGTGACTGACGGCTTTTCTCTGGGGGCTCACTGAGGAGCGGGGCCCGAGTTCTCGGCTCCTCGGGGGCGGAGATTGGGAGGCCGCCATTTTCACTCTCCGCCTCCAAAGCTGTACGGAAAGCTCGCAGGGAACAAAAGCCCTGGAGAGCAAACCCGAGCAGATGACTTAGCCGGGAGGGGGCAAGGGCGGGGCACTTCCGCCTCCGGCAGAGACATTTGGAAACCACGGCAACAGGCCCCTCCCCAGAAGATCAAGGAGAATAGCCAGCCAAGACCAAGTTTACCGATCAATGAGAACGGCAGAACTCCAGCACATAGAATTCACGGCTTTTTTACCATGATTCTTTAGTCTTTTAAAGTTAAATTTTTTTTTAAGATTTTATTTATTAGCAAGAGAGAGAATGAGAGACAGCATGAGAGGGAGGAGGGTCAGAGGGAGAAGCAGACTCCCCGCTGAGCAGGGAGCCCGATGTGGGACTCGATACTGGGACTCCTGGATCATGACCTGAGCCGAAGGCAGTTGCTTAACCAACTGAGCCACCCAGGCGCCCAAGTTAATTTTTTTTTAACTGTCTTTTTGTCTTTTTATTTCTTTTTGAATTTTTCTTTTTCCCTTTTTCAACCAACATCTTATCAATCCATTTTTAAAAAAAAAAACATTTTTATTTTTCATTTTTAGAGTCATATTCTATCCTTTCATAGTAGTTACCCGTATTTTTGGCTTATATATGTAAGTTGTTCTCTCTTTAAAATTTTGAGATAGTTTCTTCTAACAGATTAAAATATACCCTAAATCTCTAGTATATGGTGTTTTCTATTCCCCTGCCTGATCACATTCTCTCCCTTTTTTTTTCTTTTTTCTTTTTTTAAATCGTCTTCTTTCTTTTTTCAAACAACTTCTTATCAATTCCTTTTATAAAATTTTTTATAATTTCCATCTTTACAGTCATATTCCATCCCTTCATCATATCAACCCTTATTTTTGTACATATATAAGTTTTCCTTTCTTTAAAATTTTGGGAGTCACTTTCTTCTAAAAGACCAAAATACACCCCAAATCTAGTGTGTGGCACTGATCTATATACCAGCCCAATAATATTTGATCACATTCTGGTTTTTTTGTTGTTGTTGTTGTTGTTTTGTTTTGTTTGTTTTTGTTTTTATCTTTATCTTTTTCTTTTTTCTCTCTTTCCCTTTCTTTTCCCACTGCTTCAGGTCTTTTCTGATTTGTTTAGAGTATATTTTCTGGGGACGTTGTTACTCTGCTAGCATTTTGTTCTCTCATTAATCTATTCTCCTCTACACAAAATGACAAGACGGAAAAAATCACCTCGACAAAAAGAACAAGAGGTAGTACCAACTGCCAGGGACCTACTCAATACGGACATTAGTACGATGTCAGATCTAGAGTTCAGAATCATCACTTTACAGATACTAGCTGGGCTTGAAAAAAATATGGAAGTTATTAGAGAAACCCTTTATGGAGAAGTAAAAGAACTAAAATCCAACCAAGTAGAAATCAAAAAGGCTACTAATGAGGTGCAATAAAAAATGGGGGCGCTAACTGCTAGAATAAATGAGGCAGAAGAGAGAATCAGTAATATAGAAGATGAAATGATGGAAAATAAAGAAGCTGAGAAAAAGAGAGATAAACAACTACTGGATCACGAGGGCAGAATTCGAGAGATAAGCGATACCATAAGACGAAACAACATTAGAATAATTGGGATCCCAGAAGAAGAAGAAAGAGAGAGAGGGGCAAAAGGTATAATGGAGCAAATTATAGCAGGGAACTTCCCTAATTTGGGGAAGGAAACAGGCATGAAAATCCAGGAAGCACAGAGAACCCCTCTCAAAATCAATAAAATTAGGTCAACACACCAACATCTAATAGTAAAACTTACGAGTCTCATAGACAAAGAGAAAATCCTGAAAGCAGCTCGGGAGAAGAGATCTGTAACCTACAAGGGTAGAAACATTAGATTGGCAATAGACCTATCCACAGAGACCTGGTAGGCCAGAAAGGACTGGCATGATATATTCAGAGCACTAAATGAGAAAAATATGCAGCCAAGAATACTATATCCAGCTAGGCTGTCACTGAAAATGGAAGGAGAGATAAAAAGCTTCCAGGACAAACAAAAACTGAAGGAATTTGCAAACACAAAACCAGCCCTACAGGAAATCTAGAAAGGGGTCCTCTAAGCAAACAGACAGCCTAAAAGCAACATAGACCAGAAAGGAACACAGACAATATACGGTAACAGTCAACTTACAGGCAATACAATGGCACTAAATTCCTATCTTTCAATAGCTACCCTGAATGTAAATGGGCTAAATGCCCCAATCAAAAGGCACAGGCTATCAGACTGGATTAAAAAACAAGACCCATCGATATGCTGTCTGCAAGAGACTCATTTTAGACCCAAAGACAGCCCCAGATTGAAAGTGAGGGGGTGGAAAACCATTTACCATGCTAATGGACACCAAAAGAAAGCTGGGGTGGCAATCCTTATATCAGACAAATTAGATTTTAAACCAAAGACTGTAATAAGAGATGAGGAAGGACATTATATCCTACTTAAAGGATCTATCCAACAAGAAGATCTAACAATTGTAAATATCTATGCCCCTAACATGGGAGCAGCCAATTATATAAGGCAAGTAATAAAAAAGCAAAGAAACACATCGACAATACAATAATAGTGGGGGACTTTAACACCCCCCTCACTGAAATGGACAGATCATCTAAGCAAAAGATCAACAAGGAAATAAAGACTTTAAATGACACACTGGAATAAATGGACTTCACAGACATATTCAGAACATTCCACCCCAAAGCAATGGAATACACAATCTTCTCTAGTGCCCATGGAACATTCTCC